AGTAGTCCACGATTTTAGACGCCTATGCCTTAATGACATTGAGGGCATCACCAAGTTGGTTTTGCACCTCCCTAATATTCTCGTCCCAATGATTGGGGACATTCTCAGTCGGATGATGGTACTGACTTTCATGGTCTCCATATTGACTTTCTTTATCTTTGTTCTGCTATAGTAGTTCATGCGGAGGGGGAACTCGTGAACTCCCTGCGCACTGAGGAGGGACTGCGGGACAAGGGGCACCCTAATGTGACCCTGGAGTGTTCTGGCGAGGAACCCCATAGTGGGGGGCTACTTGGCACCCAGAAAGGATAGACTGTTACTCCTCTCCTATTGGAGGGAGTAGGGCTCCTTCCACAGGGTGAAGGGCGACGCCTCCTTGGGCAAGCATAAGTTGGATGATCTGCTGATTTTGGCTCACTAACAGCTGCATGGTTTGGAGGAGTTGTTGCTGTCCGACGACAGGGGTCACTACAACAGATGGTTCTGATGGTGAAAGGGGAGACGAAGCCTTCTCTGGGTGGGCCGGGTTGTTGTCTCCCGGCTGCTGGGTCATTGATCTGGTAGTGATTGCCATGGATTGAAAGAATAAGAGAACCAGTTCTGTTCCCACAGACGACACCAAACTGATGATGCACAAATTGATATTGCACAAAATCAACAATCAAGAATGTGAACGGGGGNGAACCAGTTCTGTTCCCACAGACGACACCAAACTGATGATGCACAAATTGATATTGCACAAAATCAACAATCAAGAATGTGAACGGGGGCAATCAATAAGCAGTAAACAAACAATTAATGATAAAACAGTAAATAAAGAGCCAACACAGAGACTTATAGTGGTTTAGTTCGGGTGACCTACTCTACTCTCGGGAACGGCAGCGGTGGCCGAAGGTCTTTATTGCTTTATTGATAAATAAAAGTCACCAGAAAAGTGTACTTCGGGTGAATTACAATGCCTTAGGGGAGAGAGAGAGAGACTTGATGTGTAGCGATGTGTATGTGATGTAGAGATTTGTTAAGCCTTCTCTTATTGTTGAGAGGGCATACATTATATAGTTAGGGTAAGGCGGTGACGTGAAGGAGAAGATTTCTGCTATTTTGGTAAGTATAATTACAGTAGGACTCGATCTCCGTCCCGATATTTTCTCCCTCGTGCTCCTNGGTGACGTGAAGGAGAAGATTTCTGCTATTTTGGTAAGTATAATTACAGTAGGACTCGATCTCCGTCCCGATATTTTCTCCCTCGTGCTCCTATTTAGTCAGAGGAGGGTCCTGAGCTTGATTGAACTTAATCCTGAGCCTGGGCTTTGAGTTGGAGTGGTTGGACCTGAATCGGCATGGGACGAAGAGGAGGCAAGTGAGGAGAGCAAGGAGAAAGCAGGGGAGGAGCCCTTGGGCGGCGCTCAGGCCCTAGGAGATGCCTAGGGGCTTGGGTGACCCCCCTTGGGCGACACTCTTGGTTCCTCGTACGGGTGGCACCCCTTTGGTGTCCTTCTTACTTTTGGCTTCTTGATATCTCTTGGGTGGTAGCATGTTGGGCTCCTTTCTGGATACGGGTTACTTGGGCTTCCTGGTTTATTTTTGTTGGATTTGGCCCAGTCAAATTCGGGATCATCAGGTGTAGCTCTACGGTATCCAAAAAAAAATCTCGATCCCGTATCAGAAAAAAGTTGTAGATCGTAAATTTTAGTTTCAGGTATATATAACAATTGATCGTTGATATAAATAAAATAAATTAAAATAATACAATTATAAAATTTTTTGTGTGCCATTTTGTGATTGGATAAAAATAGAGGCATGATTTTAATAAAGAGTAGTGCAATGTTTACCAAAATTTTTAACAAAAAGTGTTTTTTTCAAATGAGTTACCAACTTCATATCCAATTAAAAACATTTTGATTAGCATTTGGTGGGTCCAAGAATGATCTAAAACTGTCAACTGATTTGATAAAAATTTTGGTATGCAAAAAATTCTCTTTTAAAAAAGTTAATTCAGTAACCCAAGTCCAACCCTATTCCTTGGCATTGAGCAAAAGAGGGTTTTTTTTGGGTAATTCCCTTTTTTTTTTCAAAAAAAGTTGTTCAGGCTTCAGAATGTGCTAACGTTCGGCGGGCCAGAGCATCTGAACAAACACGCTCTAAAAAAAAGGTTGTTCAGACTTCAGAATGTGCTAATGTTTGAAGGGCCAGAGCACATGAACAAACACGCTCTAAAAAAAAAGGTGGTTCAGATTTCAGAATGTGCTAACGTTCAAAGGGCCAGAGCATCTGAACAAACACGCTCTTAAAGGTGGAGAGAGAGAGAGAGGGGAGAGGGAAGGAAAGAAAGGTGATATCTAGAGAGAGACAGAGGAAAGTGAAAAGCCAGTATACTTTTGCATTCTAGAACGCTTGAACCTCAAGTCCAGGTTGGTGTAAAAGCTAAAAACCCACTTCTCTTTCCCACATTTGAATTCATAATTGTTCTCATTTATCTCAGATCTTACTATATTTGGAGTCTTATACTAAACATGTCTACTAGTTCACTTTCTTTATCACATGAACCTTTGAACTTCTAGATTTGTGCTTCATGAGTACCCCTTAGTCATACTTATTAAGTCAAAGTACATCTTTTTTCTCTTTCATTTTTTGTTTGTGAATGTACATAGGTATATTGGGTGTGGAAAATGGGATTTTTCTGTCTATATGTGGAAAATATTCTTTGGGTTACTAAAGTTGAAGTGCTTGCCTTGGGCCATTTTCCACAAGCATAGATTCTTCTAATGATCAGTGGAAATTCGCTAGCACAGGGTTAAAAAAAAAAAATGATCAGTGGAAACCTGTGATCTTGTTGGTCGATTGGTTCATGGGTCATTCATGTGTAATGTCATTGTTCTGTGTGGATTCTTTGCTCACAAAGGTTGTTGCTTTTTCTGTCCCGTCTTTATCTCTCCTTTTATTGGTGCCTATTTCTTTATGCTTTGATTTTAGGTAGATTTGGGAATTGTATAATTGGTGTAAATAATAGGTCATGAAGATTCATGGGTTACATTACATTTTCACCCTTCAAAACGAGTATAAATTGACATGGTCGATTTTGATTTTATTCATCGCATCAGCACTTTGTGATCATTGCTACAGGGGTTCTCCATTGTGCAATTATACAAGTCAAAAGGATGAGCATCAGTAGCTCTACCATAGGTTCTGGTTAGTCTTTCTTCATCTTCAATGGCTATGCTATTTGGTACCTTGAATTGTGAATGCCTTTAAAACTGTAGTGTCTTGTATAGTTCTTTAATTTTATTCATCCTGGAGACTTGTAGACTGTGTTCTGAACTTTATTCTGGCGCTTCTGGGTGTGTTTCAGGTAGCGGAACAACTAGAAAAACATTTGAGTTTGGAAGGACACATGTTGTCAGGCCCAAAGGGAAACATCAAGCAACAATTATTTGGTTGCATGGCCTTGGAGATAAGGGCTCAAGGTATTAATGTTCATCTGTCATTTTAATTTTCCTTTCTGCATTTTGTTTGATTTTAAATTGAGATAGTATGTAGAATGTATTAGCCCCAAATTTATACATGTTAGAGGAAGTCATTGTTAAGTGTGAAATTGAGTTTGTTTCCAATCGTATACGCAAGTTTAAACTTACATGCATAGGTTTCATCATGGTCTATTGTTAATGTTCATGGGTTTCCACTTTTTGAGGTGGTAATCTGACTGTGAACTATGACATAATGTATATTTTCTATGAGTAACACTTGATGAAGTTTGGTTCCTCTGATTTTATAACACGCATATGCCTTCCATGAGAGTGGTGGAGTGGTTGTTTTTGTCATACATAAAAAAGGGAGTAAGAGAATGTCAATATTTTGTCCTATGCCCTTGAAGTGTGATGTAAGATTAACTCCCTGAGCTCTGAGCGTTTCTCAAAGATTCTCAATTTCATTGAGCAAATGAGAGAGAGAACTGGCACATTAACTGAAAAACATGCTTAGTTGTCTTTTTCTTACTTTCCTTCAGTTGATTCTGAGGTATGTAGCACTAGCCACAATTCTGAAAACGTGCATGTCAAGGGTAGAACAGGGGACCACTTCTTCACTGCCTTTCTTTATCGTTTCACCTCAGCAAACAGAATAATCCTAATCTCATTGAATTTTAGTACAAAGTTGATAGGATTAATTTGCATTCTTCCAAATTAGAATGATAGCATGATCAAATTGGCATGACGTTCAGTTTCATTATTGTTGTGTATTAGTATATTCTGTGATTTGTGCCATTCTTGCAAAAGCCTGCTCTCAAAATTGGGTGTGGTGAGTGGTCCCCAAATGGTTTACTTGACAGAATTTGAGTGGGTTTTTCTTTTATCATATATAGTCTGTTTGGTAGGAAGGATGAATTTCCATCCTAGAAGGAAGAAAAAACACTTCCTCTCCTTTTTGTTTTGATAAATAGATGGAAAGTTAGAGGAATTATTTTCCCATTGCGTGGTATTAGAGGAAAATAGAAGGATGGAAAACACTTAAACACATACAACGATTTTTTCTATTGCAAATAAAGTTTCCAAGATTTGAAAATGTACAACGTCCCTTTAATTGTCTTGAGAGATGGAATTTGTTTCAGGGAAACCAAATTGCATGGCGAGTCCTATTACAATACTGAAATACCACTTTTCATTAATAAGAATATGATACTTGTAAAATTTGTATATTTATTATTTTGTTACTTTATCCTTTTTTCAATTAAATTGTTGCAAATCATCAAACACAAAATTAATGGCTATGAACTATGGCGCATTGTGATACCATGCCAAAATTGATAACATAATCCATGGCAAAAACTTCTTCCCAAACATTTTGAACCACATGTGGCCAACCTATGCTCTACAATACACATCACATGGCAATGTAGCAAACCACCTGTTTGATAGAAACCACTACGGAAACAAGTGGAGTTTGTTCTATGTAGAAATAGATAGAACTTTGTGCTATAGTTATACATATTTACATGGAAAGAGAGAATGAATAACACAAGATTGAAGAGGTTGATGAAACCGGTGATAGATGAATCAGAGTTTGGGTGGAGTTGGTAGCACCTGGTGAGTTCTCTTCAAGTTCTTTTTTTTTTTTTTTGAATTTTTTTTCCTTCTTGAAAGGCCAAAGCTTGCACAGCTGAAATTGGGTATCAGTTTGGTTAATCTGAGATACTGGTTAACAAAGGGTAAAAAAGGTAAAACTATCATCTTATTGCGGTTCTTTTCTCTCTCATTTTCATCCCAAATTTGGGGTGAAATTTTTTGGTGGGCGGAGGGGAAAGGGATTCCTCCCAACTTTCCTTCCCTCTTATTTTCCCTCCATACCAAACGGTAGAAATGATTTCTGTCCGTTCCATTTTCCATCCACCCTATTTACCTCTGTACCAACTAGGCCAATCATATGGGGTATTCAAAGCTTTGAAGGGCACTATCAAATATTTTTTGCAATTGGATTGTCATCTTCTGTTAATTCAGTATTTGTTTGCTTCCCGATAGAGCAATTTAAAGGAGCCAACAGATATTAATGCTGATTTGTTATTTTATGCTTTGATTTGCAGCTGGTCCCAGATCTTGGAAACCTTACCTCTTCCAAATGTAAGATAAAAATACACGTTATTTAGTGGCTTCTGTATGTACGTGCAACATGCAAAATGCCACACCAATTCCATTTTAATGGGACTGGAAAAATATATCATTACATGATTAGTAACGCTGTCATAAGTGTTCACCAAAAATTTTCCATTGCAGATCAAGTGGATTTGTCCAACTGCTCCTACTCGTCCAGTAGCTATATTTGGAGGATTTCCTTCCTCTGCCTGTGAGATTCATGCTTCGAGATCCTTTTTTCCCCTTATGATTGGTTAAGAAAGTTTATTACTGCAAGATTTAAATAAGTTATTCAGAATTTTGCTTTGTATTCAATTGCAATATGCTGATGCCAATGTTGAATTCATTTTTTTCTGAGTTTCTTGTATTACTAAAGAGACAGAAAAAGGCTCACTTCAATTATGTCAGGGTTTGATGTTGGAGATATTTCAGAAGATGCTCCTGATGATTTGGATGGGTTAGATGCCTCAGCAGCACATGTTGCGAATCTCTTGTCAACGGAGCCTGCCAATAGTAAGTTCTAAAGGGCTATCAGAATAGATATTTTGTACAATAAAGCAAATCAACATTACATTGAAGTATGAGGTGCTTCAAAAAGCAAGCAAAGAAAACAAACAGTTTTGACTGTTTTGCAAATTCTCTCTCTCTCTCTCTCTCTCTCTCTCTCTTTCTCTCCTCCTTCCACCTTTGTTGAAAAGGAGAGGGTTGGAATCCTTTGTCCTTATTTCTTTTCTACCCCCCAAAATATAGAGTTTAGTTTCCTAATATCTACCAGCATTTGTTACTATAACTGCATATGTTTGGTATGCTCCTTTATGCTACCATTGTTGTCCAACAAGATCACATTGAAGAGAGAACAAGGGACATTGAAATGCGCAGAACCCCAGCCCATATGGACTCATTAAGTTTGATATGCATATTTGGATTTTCCTAACATCTAATATTCAAGTGAGATAAAAAAAAAATATTCAAGCGAGCCAATCTTTTATTTTTGTATACTGCTTTTTATTTTGGCTGGAGGTTATATCCCCTTCCCCCCCTTCTTATATGCCTGCAACACTTGAATCTTCGTGTAAACCCAAATAATGGTCACGTATCACAAGAAACTGATATGTGGTAGGGGTTGTTACAACTTCTCCGTCATGTGTATAATTCTACTATTTATCTGTTATTGTGCAGTTAGACTAGGTGTTGGTGGCTTCAGTATGGGTGCTGCAACTGCTCTTTACTCTGCTACATGCTGTGTCTTGGGGCAATACGGGAATCGAAATCCTTACCTAGTTAACTTAAGTGCAGTTGTTGGTTTGAGTGGCTGGCTTCCATGTTTAAGGTTTGAGTTCAAATCTATGCATCATTTTCGCACATCACTCCTGTAAGTGGTAGTATATTTCTGAATGTGATTTAGCATTTCAATTTACTCATCAGCTATTGTTTCCTAGGACCCTGAGGAACCAGGTGGAAGGATCACACGAGGCTGCAAGGCGTGCAGCATCCTTGCCCATTCTGCTCTGTCATGGCCTAGGTACTCATTTAGTATATTTGTCACATCTTAGATTCTTGATAGCACAAAGCTCCATATTCTTTTACATTTTACTGTATTGTTGCACATCTATTCTAGCACTAAAATTATGGAGGAACTGAACTTGCAGACAAAATAGCTGTGGTTTTTTCAATCAACTTGTTAATTTGACACACCACAAGGTGTTAGCTTTGGTGGTGTATACTCATACTATAAAAGAGGGGGTGCAGGGTTATGTCCCAGATGTATTTATTGCCAGCCGTTCCCTCCTTTCAACTAGTAAAACATAAAGCAATTTGAAAAATAAACAAGGAAATGCAAATATCTTGTGATTTCGATGCAAAATGTTATTTCTTTTCCGTCACTTAAGTACTGGCTCTAACAGCTTTTGTTGGCTATTTTATTGATCCAAATGAAAACATATCTTTGAAATTGCTTTGCTGCAAAATATAAATAGGCCCCACACACATGAGGCCCATTTTAATGGGTATTTAAAGATGAATTCACTGTACATCAGTTGTTGCAGCGGTGTTGCTGCCTCATCCTAAAAATAAAAAAATCTATTCTCATATGTTTAAGTAGCAAACAGACACATAGTTATTGTTGGTATATCTCTTCTAGTCATATATGGTTATCACGGAAGTTCCTGTCACTTTATTTGCTAATCAGTTGCGGCAGGCTCATCAAAGCCACCTTGAATTTTCTGTATTTTGGTTATTTGGAATTCTTATGGAAATATTAGTCACTCAGGTTCATGTAAGTGTATAGGACTTTGTCAGCTTTCAATTTAGGAAGCTTCGTATGATTAGTGCCTCATCTGTATACCATTCTGCAAGACATTTGTTCGCTTTTATGAAAAAAAGTACCAATTGAATGTCTCTTAACCCAGACTATTACTTTTTTGAACAATGTACATGGGGATGGCTCCTCCATGTTACTATTGCAAGGGAGTCATGGAGCTCTTATAAATCTGGAGTTCATTGATGTTTCTAACAAGCTAAGTGAGGAATGGGATGTGTGATAGGGCTTTTGGATCTCAATAGTTGTATAATTGAAAGAATGCTGAAGGTCTCCAAACTCGAGATTGTTTTGTCTGTGAGGCTAAATGACTCCCAATACTGTACATGGACTTTCGAAGGAGAGCTGTTAAAGCATGGGAAGAGAGTTCATATGACTTGTATGAACTGTTAGGAGGGGGACCAGATGACTTGTATGGCCTTGAGTTGCAAGCAATGCAAAAGCATTAAGCCCAAATTCCTTCCATCATCACTGAGCTTCAAATTATGGATTTTGTGCCTCATAGGCTAGGGTTTCCCAGATCTCAAGTTCCACATTTTCCTCAGTGTGTGTCTAGTATTCTCTCAGAATTGGAGATACCCAGTCAGACAAACTTTTTTGTCCTTGTTTGAGATAAACAAAAATTTATTTAGTTTGGAGCTGGGAGAGATCAAAGCCAATCTGCCACCAGCAAGCCTAAGGTGTCTAATTTTTTGAAGGGAGGATACCAAAGAAAATTTTCTGGTTTTAAAATCGTAGTGCCCCCTGAACTTCTTGTTGCGAGTACACAAGGCACCAGTGATGGACATCAATATCCATCCCGGGAACATGAGTATGTTTCCTTTATGGTATTGTAGGAAAATGGCAGAAAATGTAAGCAGAGCACAATGCCTGTGAAAGAGAAAGCAACCAATTGGTACTTTCAAAAAGAAGGTTTTATCTTTGATAGAGTCTATGAAACAAAAACACCAAGAAGACTATCGCCAAGGGAATCAAGGGACAATGAAAAATATGTATTGATTATGTTGAAGATATTTACTCTGTTGAATGTCTAGGCTTACTGTGAGTGCTTTGGTTATTCATATCGCTAATTATGTTCCCCTGAATTGTTAGGCCATCTTGCACTTTAACTGCTGTATGTCTTCCTGCTAACATACGCTGCAAAGCTATTACAATGTAACTCAGTCTTCATTCACGATCATAGATACAATTATACGTGAAAAAGTAATTCATTCGTTGTTTTACTGTTTCAGCTGATGATGTAGTTGCATATAAACATGGAGAGAAATCTGCGAAAGCCTTAAGTTCAGCTGGATTTGGAAATTTAAGATTTAGAACCTATGATGGGTATTTATTGCTTTTGCCTTTAGCAACCACAGTTTTGTTTGAAATAGCAATCTGTTGAAAGCTTTACTTTGTTGCACAGGCTTGGCCACTACACAATTCCTGAAGAAACTGATGAAGTTTGCAACTGGCTCACCGCAAGATTGGGCCTTGATGGGTCCGAATCATAATTTTGGAAGAAGTTGGTGAGGAGGCAGGGGTATACGTGTGGAAGTAACACAAAAGCATAGCAATAAGACACATAAGAGCAGCTTAGTTCAGCAAGTTGGCATGGGGGTATGGTATACTTGCATTGTTCCTCCAATTATTCTCACATGGTCTTGAGTTTCTTCTTTTTTTTTTCCTCTCAAAATAAAAGCTTGTTCCAAATGGATCACTCTTGTATTTGGTCTTGGAAGTAGCAAATGGATCACTCGCAAATTTGGTTGTGAAATCAAGGGCATTCGTTGCTGATATTTCTCTTTTCCGTTGTTTTCTTTTGGGGGTGTCCTATTTTCTTTTTGGTGGTTTTCTTCTTGTTTGAGTTATGTTTAGGTGATGTAATTGATACCCTTGAGGGTGCTAATACTAATAAAGGGATGTATTTTTAGTGCATACAATTGCTTGATCTTTACGCTGTCATCATTGCAAGTTTGTGTTGAAGTATGCTTCTGAAATTAAATTGAAAGAATGTGGACTGAGATTTGGGTTTTTGTCTAAGTTGGTTTGTCATCTCGATTAATTTTCTTTTTGATCTGGTTAAAGACAGATCATCCACGTTGAACTAGAGAATTCACGAGTGATAAATTCCTCTAGCCCTAAGAGAGTTGTTAAGTTTTGAATTCAGTATATTCGAGTTTGCAGTTTATTTCTATTTCCATTGGACTCTTTAGGGTTAAGGTGTTGAAATTTAGGATAGGAGAGATTAAGAATAATAAAATAAAGGAAAAACAAGACACAAATAATGAATGTGGTTCGGCATACTATGCCTATATCTAAGGACCTAATGTCTTATGAGTCAGGTCTGGTGTATTATTGAAGGTACAATAGGATAAAAATTACATATGATAAAATGTAAGTATCACGTAAATTTATAATCATTTATAATAATCCAAACAACTTAGATATCAATGGTCTCTTTAAATCACATATCATATATCTACATAGATATTGATGAATTTTTTTTGACCCTATCATATCTCTGCACCATACAAGTTCTCTCAAGTGTGAATGCCAAAGTCTTGAGCCATTGTTGTCGCTTCTAATTCCTTTGTCATGATGACCCGAGGTCTAAAATGGGGAAGAAACTTGAAATCAAAAACAGCTTCGAGAAATCTTGGTGATTGAACTTCATATTTGATATATACAAATGTTAGGATTAAGAAGAAAATGTATTTTTCATTTGATTGCTCAGGATGAATTTTGAATTAGGCATAGAGGCATGTATCTCCATAAGTTCTCTATTGTTTCTGGTATTAGTGCTGGATCATCTCCGTTGTTCTCATCCAAAATTTGATAGGCTTTGGCTTCTTTGCCCAATCCCGTAGTCCTAAATGACTCTATTTGATCAAAGAAGTGATAGAGGATCAGCAAAAGTGCCAATGGGTCAAACCATAGAGACGTATCTCTTCCATTGTCAATCACATTACATTTGTCATCTTTTTGTATCATGTGTTATGTACCACTTCAAGATGAATTATTAGAGATTAGTGGGCTCAACGATTGTTTTGGTGCCACATCAAGTGGTGAAACTAGGATGATTCACAAAGGTGATGTGCACTTCATTAATCATTTAACAAAGAAGTGTTTGTTCATATCTCTTATTCTCATTAACTTCTTCTACTTCCATGAACAAGTTTGTGGATTTTTGACTCATATGCTTTAGTCCATGCATTACCTTATTAATCATAAAATTAAATACCATCTCTCTTTTTTTTTTTAAAAAAGATATTGCAAGATCAAGTTCATAATTTTTGAGCATTTTCAATGCATTGTTTGAGTTATTATTATTATTTTTTTTGAGGAAGGTAAATGTATTTTTTGAGTTATTTCAATCAAAGTTAGACCAAGGTAGAACTTGCATGGTCACATCTATTCCAAGGACATAGGAATATTTGCATGGTCACACAAACTACAAGATATTTGATTAAATTATATGAATAGCACCTCATATTTCTAAAATAATAATAAAACCACAATCATGCGTTAACAAATTGAACAGAAAACTATTTTTCCCTTTATTTTAATGGGTAAAACTTAAATAAACAAAACAAAACCAAAATATACTCCTGGAAGAATACTCAAACCAATAACACATGCTCAACATATTTGGCTGGTCATTAGAATACTCAAACCAATAACACATGCTCAACATATTTGGCTGGTCATTAGAGATGTCCATGGGTCGAGCTAGCTTATAGCCATTCGGGCCAAAAAATATGGCTGATACTTGGCTAGACTTAAAAATTGGTCCGCTCGGATGTGCAAGAAGTTTGAATTTTACAAGTGATAGATATCCTATACAAGGTATCGTAGGACCCTTAATTATAGTAATCTCTATCAATTACATTCATACGCTGTTATCACAATATTATATCCCCTCAAACTATTGGTGGGAAATAATAGATAGGACAAATGCCGGAGAAAAGCTAGAGCAGTCAACCTTTTTGTGAAGACATCAGGAATGTGAGACACGGAACGAACAAACTTAACTTTAAAAGTTTGTCGAACTACTAGATCACTCATGAAGTGGTAGTTCACCTCGATGTATTTTATTCGCAAATGAGGAACCGGATTTGCAGTCATGTGAATTACACTAAGATTGTCACAGTGAAGAACCATGGGTTGGTAAAGTGGAATATGAAGATCTTGGAGTAATTAGGAAAGCCATTGCATTTCGAAAGTGGTGACTGCTAGAGCCTTATGTTCGGCCTCAGTGCTAGACCTCGAAGCTGTAGGTTGTTTCATGGATGCCCAAGAGATAAGGTTAGGACATAAGAACACACAAGAACCGGTTGTCGAACGGGTATTGGGGCAGCCAGTTCAATCGACGTTAGCACGACCAGTAAGATTTAGGAGAAAGTTAGGACGGATGTTAAGGCCGTAACCAAGAAAGCCTTTAATATTGTACAAAATATGCTTTAACTACAGATGAATGTAACTGATTGAGATTACAACAATCAAGAGTCCTACGTTATCTTGTATAGGATATCTATCATTTATAAAATTCAAACTTCTCGTACATCCAGATTCTATTATAAATACCACTCTTCTACCCACTTATGGGCAAGCCATTAAAACCATATCAAACTTTTTTACTTTCATGGTATTAGAGCCAAAGTAAACAATGGAATGGTGCAGTAGAGTCGGATCAAAAGTCATATGAGAAAAGGCACATGAGTCGGGAACCTAGTGACAGGTATCAGAAGTATGATGATTAGAAGTTAGCGACAATATTTTTAAAACTAGAGAAAGCTTGTTGAAGATGGTGAACATTGCGAAATTGGCACTTGTTCGCGACTTGTCCAGTCTTAGAAAAAATATGGCATTTAATGGGTAAACAGACTAGAGTTTCAGTAGGAGGGGAGACAAATATGGAGGGAGTTATAGGGGGTGTAGATAGAGGAACTGGGTGTTTGCTGAAATTTGGAGTTGGTGGAAAAGAAGAGGCATTAATTGAGAGAAATGCGAGAATTCAGGTCGTTGGTAGCGAGAAGAGGAATAATTGTAGCGGTTATTCTTGCCTTGTTTAGAATTAAATTTGAATGAGTCATGCAACGTAGAAGGAACATTAGTATAAAGGGTTGTGGGAGAGTCCACAATAGGTAGTTGAAGTTGCCCAAACCCGTGAGCCAAGCGCTGCTCATGAATGTGAAGGCTGGAGTGCAACTCTAAAAAAGTGATGGGTGGATGACAATGTTCAATGGTAGTGATGAACATACAATATTCAGAACTCAATCCGTTCAAGGTGTGATGAACTAAGTCAGAGTACATTTGCTACTTGCCGCAAGAGAGTTCCATAATGACTTGATGCAGTGGAGATAGTCATGAATTGTGTCATCGCCTTTTGAAATACCTTGAAGGCCCGGTGGAACTTAGCTCTAATACTATTTGTTGGTTTTGTACGACGAATAATTAACACAAATAATACTTGTGGAAAGATAGGAATTTAAATATAAAAAAATAATAAAAATATAACACAAAGATATAAAGTGGTTCGATACAGTATACTTACTTGGTACACCGTATCTACATCCACGGACTAAGAATCTACATCGATATATTATTCAATAAAATCTGATCGTTTGATAACTAATTACATAATACTCAACTCTATTCATAGGGATAAAATACTATAACCCAAACCTATTTAGATATAATTTGATCTTTATTTTTTTATCACATGTCTAATATACCTATTCATGATATATTAAAACTTTTCCAATATAATCATATTCCACCTAGGATTCTCATATTGATTACCCAACAAACTCTTCTTTATAACAATTAGAGAGTTTGAATCAAATTTCAACAGCCTCCCTTGAATCAAACTCTTCAACTTTGGTCATGCCCAAGATCGGGCTTATCACTCTTAATTCTGATTCACCAATATTTTCAAGCACTACGTGCAAACTTCCTCTTTAGAGTCGCCACATTCCTCTCTGTCTTTCAAGAGCCTACGTCTTGGCCTGTATCATCTGTGTATTTTTTCCCGCGTCTTACCTGCTCTCGGGAGATCTCAATGGTCAATGCTTCACCCTTCAAAAGTAAAAGCCTATTGACTCGTAATCTACGAGACACCAAATCATCACTATTGAGTTTATATCATCCCAATAGCTCCCAAACCATTGGAATACTGGAACTTCAACTCTAAGGGTCCAAAAACTTGAAGAAACATATTCAACACAGCACGTGCGGTAATTCTTTCCAAACAATCAAGAAGCAATTTAGTCTTCCATTTGGTTTCATGCCAAATTTAAAATTTTTCTTATGGATCTAAACAAAAATATAAATTATACATACATGGCAAAAGAGTCTTCTTCAACATGAACACTAAGTTGATCGTTGGATCTTCAATAACCCACTCTGATTATTGCACTAGAATCGTCAATCTAGCTCTGATTGCTCTATCAGGATCATCAATCTAGTTTTGATACCATTTGTTAGAACATAGCTCTGATACCACTTGTTGATTTTGCACAACGGATAATTAGCACGAATAATACTTGTTAGAAGATAGAAATTTAAATATAGGAAAATAATAAAAATATGAAACAAAAATATAATGTGGTTCGATACAGTATACCTACTTGGTACACCGTATCTACATCCACGGACCAAGAATATACATCGATATTTTATTCACTGAAATCTGATAAATGATTACATAATACTCAACTCTATTTATAGGGATAAAATACAGTAACTCAAACCTATTTAGATATAACTTGATCTTTATTTTTCTATCACATGTCTAATATACTTATTCACGATTTATTAAAACTCTTCCAATATAATCTTATTCCATACAGGATTTTCATATTGATTACCCAACAAACTCTCCTTCATAACAATTAGAGAGTTTA